TTTTATTAATAAACTGCATCGGTTTTAACTTCTCTTAAGAACATTTCGTGTACATATACATCATCGTTTGAAGTCGTAAACTACATCGTTTTTGAAAACAAATACGTTTTACTTTTCTGAATGACTGTGGAATGTGTGTAAACCAGAATAATACGTTTCAGAACATGATGATACTTATCTGAGAACTTTAATGAATAAAAGTCGAATTTCATACGAATATTTTATTAGTTGTAAAACTGTATTATACTTCGCGGTACTTTTATTGGTAATAATATCACTATCGTGACCTCGAAAAGTATCAATATCCAATAGAATATTTTTTTCTGCATCGTTTAAAGTCTTCGACCACAATGTTTTATTTAAAAAAAAAAATGTTTTCACTTTTTTGAATCATTCTAGGTGTGCATTTATGTTCCGGAGCAGAATAAACTTATTCCTTTTCGTTGTAATCAAGTTTCTAGAAAATGAACAGAGTTGTAAAATAAAGGGTTCCAGTAGTACTTTGACCAGGTCTATGTCTAAATTGTTTTTTAAATTTAAGTTCATTCTGTTCTATGAAAGTAATGATTCGGTCTTAAAACATTTTTTCAAATATTTTCCAAAAGTTACATGGCATATAAATCCGGCTCATTATAATAATTAGAAACATCTTCCGAGCTTCCTGATTTAAATAAAGGCTTTACAATAGCTAACATAAATTTATCAAGAAAAACACCCCTTCTTACACTCAATTTAAATATTTTAACTATAAAGGCTAAAAGTATGTGACTTGTCTTAATGGCTTAACAGTAATTTTATCGAAGCCAGAAGCAGTTCCGTCTTTTAATTTATTTCGAATAATTAATGCTTCTGGATTTTCTATCGGTTTCAAAAACATGGCATTAAAAGAAATTTACTAGGCGTTATAGGTATGTTATCCAGGGAATTGTTTCCAAATTTGTCTCCTAACGAGACACCGACATTCGTAAGATATAAGATATTTGATGCCTCAAAATGATGTATTTGTCGATATCGTTATTTGTAGGTGAGTTGGATCGCGGTGAATTGATCGCTTTTAGACAATTGATCGCCAGGATAATTGATCGCCGAACTATCATAAAAAAAAATAGTTATTTTATTACACTACGTATTATGTCATATACAGTTTACATCAAAAAGGTACCAACTCTATTTATTTATTTTTTTAATAACTTCTAGTTCTGATATTAACAACAATTAATACGAAATGAAAATTAATTAAATTACAAAAAGATTAAAAATTAAATAAAAATAAAAAAGCTGTAAAAATTAAATCGAATATAAATTAAACATTACATTGACAGCAGTTAAAAATTCTTAAGTTTAAGCATAATGTTCAACTTTAACCTTAAATTCAGTTTACATTTTATGCATTTAATTAGTTATCATCTCATATTAAATAACACTAATTCGTTATTTAAAAATAAATAAATAAGAGTTGGTACCTATTTGAATAGTCTTAAATAATAAACACAAAACTCAGAAATATAATACGTAGTGAAATTATAAACGTTGTAGAAAAATAACTAAAAAAACTGAAAATGTTTGTTCGGCGATCAATTATCCTGGCGATCAATTGTATATTCGCGATAAATTCGGCCGCGATCAATTCGCCGGATACCGAGTGAGTTAGGGCATTTTTTTAGTCTGTTCATTTTAAAATGAACAAAAAAGATTGAATTAAGTCATTGCAGCTATTATATGGAATAACAATCTGTTATTTGTGTCTGAACAACTCCAACAAAAATAATATATTATAATATGTTCACTCCGGAATGAGCCCTGATGGAGATGACATTATAATATGATCTCTACAAGTCTCTAATATTAAAGACGTCATTGTGGTATGTTTGTGAAAGATCTAAGATCATCATAGCCGGCCAACAAGTCTAGATAATTTATTACCGTTATTTATTGAATCTCCCATTATGTCAATGTTCGTATCGCCAATAACAATAGAACCAAATTTATTGTACCTATGAAACTTCGGTATCAAGAATAAACAATGGTTTTGATATAAAGTCATTACGCGTTAGACGCTCTCTATAGAATCTGTGATCTTAAAATATCACACTCGTCAAAATCATATTCATGCATACTCACCGTCAGATTTTTTTTCACAAATTTTATAATTCCATCATTTTGAATTCGATTTTATGACGAAATTATACGTATACTGTAACCAGAAACTGAGTTCAATCATCAATAATGTGCCACGTGCTACTCGTATTCGTATATTTTTCGTATATTTTTATCCAATTATCTACGTTTGTTCAACGAGAATTACAATTCATAACACGAATAATATTAGTCTAAAGTGGGTACCTTTATCGAAATTTAACGACGAGAGCCAAAGCTCAATGAAACCCCTACGAATGTTTAACTATTTTTTAATATTTCGTATTTACCTCCCTATATTAAAAATGAAGTTGACAACTTCTGACAAACAGTTTTATTTTTCATGCATAATTATAGCATGCATTATTTATTATGCATGCTCACTTCTATTTTTCTCTTTAGCAGTACATTAATTCGATTCAAATCGAGAGTTGAGAATTTTTGTTCGTTAAAACTAAGAAAAACTATATTTTTTAATTCCTGAATTTTTTGTTCCACTATTGTACTACTCCCGTGGCAATACAAGCTCCTATTATTTAATATGATAAAACCCTTTTTTACTGAAAATCAGTAAGCACGTCTATTTTTTTTAAATGTTGATGTATTCAAATCAACATTTTCACGAGTTGTGTCTGAGTTATTACACTTATTATAAGTATACTAAGGGCACTAATCATTAGAAATGCTCTAGTAAAAATATGAACCGAATTATATGTAATATTAGATGTAATATGTTTTACTATACTTGGACTATTTTCAAAAGTTATTTATATTGATAGATCAACAGTAGTTACTGACATTTTAAAATCATCTAAGCCACCGTGCACAACTAAATGTCTTACCGTAATTTTATTAAATCCATATAGCGCACGAAGTCGTATGGGTAATTCGAAAACAATGTGTTTGAATTTTCATTTGAATACATCAAGATTCTCGAAACAACATCTGCTGAACAATATTCAAGTGGAAAAATATCGGTTCCTATTTGGAAAATCGAAGTTTTTCTGTCAGAGGACCATCTACTATATAAGCGGTACAAAAAAATATCAAGTATTTGAAATGTGGTGTTCGAGTGTATTTAAAATTTCCAAACATCAGTCTTTGAACTTTTTTTTTTTTATCAAAAGAAAATTTACAATCTGTATTTACATGATACAATAAGTAAAATGGATAATTGATAAAACCCTACATTATACATAATAAAAATACACATGAGGCACGTGATGAGGGAAATCATCCAGCGATGGTACCCTCTTTGAACTAACGCATAATTTATGCATAAAAATAGGGCGGGCGTGCTAAAAAATTCACCATGTTTTATACATTATTACGTATGACACATTTTATACAGTTAAATGTATTTTATACGTAGGTACATAAATACACGACGTGTTAATAAATATCAACTTAATTTCGTGATTTATGTGCCAACTATACCAAAACGAACTATTTCAGTAAATTATTCCGAAAGTATGTTTTCTATGTCATGCCAATCCGTGTTGTAGCTAGGCATAGAGAAGTGAAACAGTTAATCCGAAACGTACTAAAATTCAATTTTTAAAATAATTGTAATTAAGTTTGAATTTAAATCAAAAATATAATCCCACAATATTGAACAGGTTCAAATCGTTTCAGATAGAAATACTTTATTATTAAATAATTTAAAAAAAAATAACTAATCCTCAAAATGATTTGTTTATTTTTAAAACGGTTTGTTTTTATTGGAGATGATGATGAGGAGCAGAAAATCGCTTCCGTCGAAAAATCAGTATTCTGGCAAATTGTACATAAATAAACAATAGTACAATGGCAATAGTATATTTTGGATTTCTTTCCCTTGCAGTTCACTACGCAGTCAAATTAAATTTTTTTTTTTATTGCAATGCACAATACGTATATTTTTATGTTATTTGGCTTTTCGTCTTGTCAAATCATTACCGGTTAATGGACTCAAATACTCTGGTAGTCTGGTAGTCCAAGTGATTCCAATAAGAGGCGACTATACTTCGGTATACTATATTTTATTTATACATTATTATTTTGCACAATGCTACTTTGAATTATCCGATAACCATTTCACGAAAAGTGCATTGTGTAAATTAAAAAAAAATCTAAAATAATGGTTTCCATTTCACGGAACGGATGAAATGTGTGTCCACCATTAAATAAACCTAAAAACGACTTTTGTACGTTATTGTTTTGTGCTCAAAGTTCGTGAAACGGAAATCCATTTCGTGAAAGTTTGATCACACACCGTGTGAGAGCGACCCATTATATTATTGCTATTTCCCTGGCAGGTACATTATACAGTTATTGTAACCATCGAAAAGAAATAAATCTTCTTGAAATGCAATTTGAATATTATAGGTACGTGCAATAATATTATGTGATGTACCTATTATAAATGTGTATTCCACGACGTTCGTAGAAAATAGGCGGCTATATTATATAAAATAAAAGAGTTCTTTTTGCTTGTTTATTGGGAAAAAAAATTTGAAAAAAAACTGTACCGATTTTTTAATTCAACCATATTTTTATTGTATGTTATGTTCGAAGTAGGTAATATTAGAATGGTTTTCAAGTATACAAGCCACATTATGTCATTGTAACTCATTTGTCTGGCCGCTGCGCGCTTCGCTCGAAACGAAAATTTCTCTCTGCGGTATTCTCGTTTGTGAATAAAATGAAATAATCGATGACTAGAATTATTTGCACCTTGATTCTCCGTCCGAGGGCTTCGACGACTGCGTCTGCGTGAGAACTATAAAAATAGTTAATCGATAGCTGAATTATATTATACATGTATCTCTATGTAAAAACAAAAAAAAAAAACTGAATGCGTTGAATTTATTCTGTTCCTCTAGATTGTTGGGATTGTTTCCGAACACGTACACGTTTACGAAACTATTGGCCGAGCAAATAGTCAACGAGAGATCGGCCAGGTCGACTCTAGACGACAGCAATAATATGCCAATGGTCATATTCAGACCGTCGATAGGCAAGTATTTTTTTATTAAGTACATTGTTATTATTAGTTGGAGTTGTGAATTCGAAATATTTCCGTGAAATCGTGAAGAATATATTTCACTTGTTTTGAACGTGTTTTTTTTAAAGACGTCAGTAGAAAATATTATTATTGATTACACATAGACAATATCGATAATGATTGACTCGTCAACCGAGGTTTACGGATTACTTACTAACGGTTATTAATGGTTATGAAATATTAACTATACTCAACTGCCGATCTATTAAAGGTATTATTTAATGTGCTTTCTGTCTCTAGTCAACGCGAAACATAGACGAAATACGCATTCGCACAAAAATCATTGTAATCTCAGAGTGAAGTTATTAATATTATTACCCATTAAAAAAATGATAGACGACATTTTTTAAGGTTTGGCATATTTGTTCGCAATTTGTTGATGAAGTCAATTAACAATAAAATATAAAAACCGACACTATATTATGTCGAACACTACAAAATATTATCCTCTATATAGTCTGTACAACATTGGTGATTTTACTCCGAGATCACTCGAAAATGGTAAAAAAAAAAAATAATCTATTTTACACGTGAATGCGTTTTCTCTGTAAATGACATATTATGGAGAAAATAAATAACCGACTCATCCAAAATCAATGCCTGTCTCGTGTACAATTTAAGGGTTTTTTGCGAACGGTACGATTGCACGAAGCGAACAGATTTCAGACTAAAAATACACAACATCAAACCGAAAATAGACAAACCGTGAATATTATAAAAACCATGTCTCGTTTATCTATCGAAATAAACATTTGGAATGTTACTGTGTTTTGATGTTTACTGGATTGACCCGTGGGCAACTCCCGGCACACAGCTTTTATATGGTGATGGGCAGTTTCTATATTCTAAGGCTACTGTGTATATAAAAAAAAAAAAAAACATTATTATAATATAGGTACATTAGCAAGACAATTTGTATTTTATTCGAGTATAATAAAACTAAATTATTCGTCCGTATTCTAAGTGGGTAGACTCGTTGTCTCCCACACGACGCTTCGCCGCACCGCCATCTTTTTCTAACAATGTGGTGTTAGATACCTTAAGCCTATCCCTCTCTCACACACACACACACACACACACACACACACACACACACACACACACACACACACTATTGATGGGTATGATTCATGGAGAATAATACAAGATTGTATAGGCCCCCTCCTATAATTGTTAACGAAATAAGTGGACTCGGCCCGGATGAGAGACGGGCTCACTCGCTCCGGCAAGGGGGTTTCGTCATTAATTATATTTGATATATAATTGGTGAGACCCCTTTGAAACCTCGAAATATTATCAAAATGTTCATTCTCGTGTGACAAATTCTGGCGACCTTATGTTATTATCAATGGTATATTATATGAATGGACCTAACTTGTGTACCGCGCTTTCTTCAAATAATAATGTCGGGTCTCAGACCACTCATCCATCTCTCTGCTATCGGACCTTTTTATTTTTTATTTTTTTTCATAGTCTGCGGTACACAATATGTAGGTACAATATGAGCCATTATAATACACTGTGGTCTGAGATGAATGCATTCAATTTAATGCATTCGTGAGCACATTCAATTATTGTACACGAGGTATTAATTGCGATCGAGAACGCGCGTTAATTTCACTAATGAAAGTAGAATATGCAAATTGGACGTGTTCAAGTATTCTCCGACTAAAAACGTTTAGTAGATGTTGAGATTGTTGGTTTTTACGTCAGGAAAAAAAAATATTATAAAATCTATACGTATAAATAAACTGCATAATTAATAGTACGTACACCGTCCACGACCGTAATCAACTATATGGCGTTCGTGAGTGGTGGCAGCTTACAGTTGAGTACACATTATATTATCTATGGTAAGCAGTGTTTCGAAATTTGACTACTTTTTGATAGGTAATTAAATCACATAATGAATTATCTTTCAAAATTGTAACTAAACTATTTAAAGTGAATTTTTTTTTATTTGGTCGAGTAACATTACTTTTGAGTTAAAAAATCAACTTAACTATATGCATCATCAAAATAACTTTTCGTTTTCAAAAGTACCAATGGACCTTCTTAAGTTGCCAGTACATTAACAACTAAGCAATGACAATCAACAATATACAATTATATAAAATCTTTATTAAAAATAAAAAAGCAGTCAATAATGTTGTGTGACACGTTAATTTTCTTTACTGCAAATAACAATGTACTATCTAAATTGCAGCTCATTGCTGCAACACTTTTTTGTCAGATACCATTTTTTTGTTGCTATAATACAAAAATGTTACTATCAGAAAATCGTACTTTTTTGCAATTTTTGTAGGCACCTACTAATATTCACAATTATTATATCAACTGGTTCTAGAGTGTATTTAAAACACACGTATACAAATTAAGGAGTAATCATTTGTAATTTTACTACAAAAGCTTAAAACGAATTCCGTTTAAATCACTTACAATAAATAACATTTGATTCGAATTTCTTAAAAATTACAGTAATTGTTAACTTCAGTGAAGTCGCTCTCCCGCATCGCGATATCGTACAGGAGCATGTGAAACACCTACGATACACAAGGTGCGAAAACACTAATAATTTAAAAGGAGACGCATCTCACATCATCCGCCCAGACAACAATTTCGTAACATCAATATTGTAGTAACCTTAGGATTTGGTTAAATTACAAATATTACGATTTTGACGTTATTATAATATTGTCCAGAGCTTATCAGTTAAATGTTATATTAAAAATATTTCCTTAACGTGATCATCAAGTATTTTTATAATATTCAAATTAATATCATCTAGTAACATTACAATAATATTAAGTTATGAACTTAGAAGTACATTATTTTGAAAATATTTTTTGTACGTTCTATATTGGTTAAATTTACAATATTTCAAATATTTTCTGTAGAAAATATTTTAAAAATGTTAAACATATAATCTAAAATAATATTAAATTCTAAACATTCTATTGGTGTTTTACATGAATTAAATGTACAATGTTAAACATTTAACGTTAAACAACGTTTAAACTATATTGAATAAATAACTATAATTATTATAATAATATCATTAATGTATTTATATATTATATTATATCCATGATCTATCATCATAAATATTTTTTATGTTCTTTAATTTCTTAACTACATTTTTAACTATTGCAGTTATATCTACATATTGGTATATTTTGTCGCCTATATAGGTTATTATACATACATAGGTTATTATTGCATATTGATTTAAAATATGTAGTACCTATTTATAATCAATATTTATGGTAGGGTATACCTAGTAATGAGTATTATAATCACAGAATAGGTAAAATTTAAAGGTAGTTTATTTCAATGTAATTCTTAAAGCTTAACTAAGTAATAACCAAATACTGAAACAGAAAAGAAAAAAAGGAGGGCAATTGGGTTCCACTCTGCTGTACAATAAGTATAGATGTCTAGCAAAAGGTCACTTTAATGATGAATGTGTTGGTAAACGCGTGATACCTACCATTTTAACTTCGAAGTGGACAATCATATTTCGAATCCCGAGCATTTAAATCGACCTATTATAATATAATCGATGGTTATTTAAAACAGTCGCAACAATAATAACGGTACTTGCTATAAAAACAGTAGATTCAAAACCACGTGTCAATTTCAGACCAATAATAAATATTGAACTAACGTCAATCTAAACTATTTCGACGAGTATTGTATCGCGCGGCACACGATTATAATAAAACAGGTGTGTTATCGTCGAGGAAGTCACAGTGTACTTTTCAATAGTATTTAAAAAAAAAAAAAAAAAACAACGACATCGAAGCCACTCAATGACCTGCGCGTATATACAATATATATAATATATACAATAAGCCTTAGTGTTTTTTTTTTTAAAATTTGATTCAATATAATATCAGCTGTTCGCACAAATTTGTAACTGGGCGAATGAATTTATTTTCCAAAAAAACAAAAATATGATTTTTTCTCGATGCGAGTGAATTTGTTTTTTGAACAGACGGGCCAGAACCCCACAGCGTAATATACCTATATAATATTATGCGATTCGATAATAATAACCATCTCATTTCTGACGGTCGATCGTATTATATACGATAAAATGTTTGACCTTTGGTAATCTGAGGGTGCGTATTATTACCGTATAGTCGTGTGTCATTGGTTTTCGTCACTGAGAGCCATTAGGTCAAAATGTCTACGGAGAAAGAGTAAACAAACCGTCTGCCGGAAAACGGGAAAATCGGCAGACACGATATTATTTTCCCGCTATTCGGGATGACTTTTGTAATATTATACAGGCGCCTAATGCGAGTATCGAAGACGTTTAGCGACATGTTATACCGCCGAAATAAGAACAATTTAATAACAGAAATACGTCGAACCAGATTTCCCGACCGTTTGGAAAAAAAAAAAACGAGTGTAGAAAAATATAATATCGTGTACGATTACGTCGATGATTCTAATCGTATTTTTTGTGTCGTAATGACGTGTTTTCGACGAAACGAAAACACAGTGATCCGCATATACTTGTACCAACGGAAAATAATGATATCAATTCGTTAACGAGCCAGGAAAACTCACTCCTCTGCCGGTCCTCTAAATTTTCCGTTTCTATATTTTAATTTGTGAACTCATTTTAAGCGGCCGACCGAGCGATGCACGACTACCTAAGAATAATTCCTAGGTATGAAATTTTTTTTATTTTTATTTTAGAAAATTTACAATCTATATTAACAAAAACACAACAAGTAAATGTGATAATATGCACAACAGACAATATAACATAACGACAGAATGACAGGAAAAGGGAGGCCGTCCAATGATAAAATCCTTGTACAATATATTCAATTTAACTTAATTTATCGATTTTTTTGTTCATTATTATTGTTTCATATTGAACCGTAGAGGATCACGACACCTGCAGCGTTTTCCGAGGCGGCGAGGGGAAAGTGTACGTGATCATGGTATCCCGACAATCGAACGAAAGAAAAAGAGCGAACGTGAACGAGTGAATGAAAAAGAGCGAATACAAAATAAGCGAATAAAAATATGAGCGAAATCATATAGAGCGAAAAATATACGTGCGAACTATGTGAAACTACAGTGAAATATTTTAGGATTCGAAAAGTCCGAGATAACGATTCGATAAGATTACGTTTATGATCATTTTGTCTCATCTGAGTCATTGTCGTCTTGCTTATGTTGAGTTTATAGAAGCTCCAATTATTGTCCATGAGGGTCGTGTAATCCAACGATTTGAAAGTTCATAAAAGCCCTTCAAAATCGACAGACCTTAGTGGATATGCAGTAGCATCAATTTAATAGTGTCATTCGTTGGTCCAATAAAAAATAAAAAATATGTAATGATTCTGCCGAAAAATTAAAAAAATATTGTTGATGATCATTATAATATTCCGACACTTTAATATTTAAAAGGTATCACGTATAATTTTCCACTGCAAGAATAAATGTATTAATTCTATATTCAATAACTATGAAAAATATGAAATCTAAATGTATTGATTTTATATTTATATGTATGTGCAAATAATTTACTTAAATTATATTATAATGTTATATTTTTTCGCTCTTATTTTCATTCGCTCATTTTGTATTCGCTCTTTTTCATTCGATCATTTACGTTCACTCTTTTTCTTTCGCTCAACTGTCGTAGAACCCGCAATCATAGGTGGGAGATAAGAGGATTTCGGTGTGGATGTAATTTTTTGTGAAATGTAGTGTAGTATTGTTTAGTTAGTTGTCCAACAGGTTGTATTTTTAAGTCCTTGTAAAGTGTATTATTATTGTTACGTTCCATTGGGCAGATGTTACGAGACTGAGGGATATTGACTGGAATGCTTGGATGGTTTGTATAGTTGGCGCGGTTTGGAGCTACCCCAAATTTGAGAGCCATGATAGGTCCATATGGGTCTCGAAAAAGATTTGTACACTGTTAATTTTGAATTTATAGAAAGTTTGGATTTAAGTATTGGGCGAAGTACGTATAATGTGTAGACTATGGGGTATGAAATTTAAAAATAATTTATGTTTCATAAATCGTAACTATATTTTGCACCGGTAACCATCGGACAGCGGCGCACGAACGGACACAACCGGGATGTAATAAGGGGCTCTAAACTTTCGTGACTTGTGAAGAAAAAAAAACTGTGTTCAAAGTATACTTCGAAAACACAAAAACTCTTTGTTTTCTTTTTTTAGATCCCAAGGGCCAAGACTACTGAGTTTTGCGTTACAGGCGCGTATGGTTGTGCAGCATATAATAAACTATAGTCGTGTCATATTTCTGTAAGATATAAATATTGCGGAACAGAAATGACAATTTTTAACCTTCAGATAACGTTGCAGGGACATATTTTGTTGTCTGAGCCTCACAGATGCGTTACAGAGTGCACTGCACGTTTAGCTCAGTCGGTTTGAAAATTAGAGTGAATTGACCTTTTAAAAAATTTAAAGCCGAGCATCGTCTCGGGCGTCTCATTTTATTATATTTCGATTCTATAAACCGTTTTATATGAGCATTTTCAGATGTACTAACCGTTAGCGATTTTAAAACATTCATAACTCGCTTCAAAACCAATCGAAACCCCATGGCAGTAACTAGGTGATAAAATTTAAATTTTATGAGAGGTCAATTCACTCAAATTTTTAGACTAACGGAGCTAAACGTGATCTGCTGAACGTACGATTTTTACTGTGATATACCAACGAAGTTGTGAGAAATCACAGACAACAAAATAATATGATGTCCTCTTAATTTAGTTGTATTTAGCTACTCACGTACTTGTGTAAAAATATTGCGATTATTTTCGATTGAGATATTAGGATTTATTATTTCATTTATTTTATTATTATTTAGACGTTTCGCCGATGAGTTACCGTAATATCAATAATAATAATATTATATCGAACCTGCAGATATCCGACCGCGGGGGAAAAAACGAAAAGCCCGAAAAATGGGACGAAAAATAAATATTAATATCTAGTGAAATCACGTTCATTTTAATCGTATTTATTATGGTCTTCGTGCGCAGTCTTAACGAAATTAAAATAATAGTGATTCTCAAGCTCAAAACAATATAAATATATATTAATATTATTACAGAAACGATTTAGACGTTGTCTTCCGGGCGGCGTCTCGTCTTCAGCAATATAGACTATGTAGGTGTGAAAAAAATGACAAAACACCATCATCACTGCAAGTCTAGTTTCTTATGTCTCCCGCATATAATCGTTTTTCCGTTTTTTAAGATTAATTATTTAAATTCAAATGACAATTGCTTAGCATTATTAATGTACTACATAATGTACATAACCAGCTATTGGGTACAAGCTAACTGATGAGTTTTAAGTTTTCGTCCGGGTAAGACGTCTACCGATCTGTTACCGAAATAATACGATAATAATATTATGTCGAACCAGATTTCCCGAAAAATTATGTGACAAAAATACCAGAGTGCAAAATGACGTTAATTTTAATCGTCTTTTCAATGGCGTTCGTTGGTAGTTTTTCAACGAAATGAAAATAAATTACCGAGTGATTCTTATACCAAAATTAGAATTTAATAATATTATAAAAACGATTTTTAGACGTTTTCCTCCGGCCGGCGTCATACTGTAAGACGTGTAAAAAACTATGTCCGAAAAATATTACGAAAACCAAAACACGATCCAAAGACTAGTTTTTTATGTCACACGAATGTATAATATATAGTCGTAATTCCGTTCTAAAGATTAATTTATTACAAAACTCGGATGACAATTGCTTAACATTAATATATTACCTATGCATAACCCGCTATGAGTATTTAATATAAGCTCACTCGACGAGATTTCAGTTTTCGTTCAAGGCATAATATTACTGAAACAACATTAAAAATATTATGTCATGTCAAACCAGATAACCTGGGAAATAAAACGAAAACATATGAGAAGAAAATGTGAGTCCAAATTATAATATAGTGTAAAATGAAGTTGATTTTGAACAAAACGAAAATCGAGTTATTTGCATATTCCTACCAAAAATAATATTAATAGTAAAACCATTTGACGCGTTTAATTTAGACTTTTTACTAGTCCGTCCCGTCGACTGCAGAAAGACTATTGCGTAAAAAACCATATCCGAAAAATACGAAATAAAAAACAAAAACACTTTTTAGAACCCAACACTAGACCTAGACACACTATAGTACTATTTTAGATTTACCCGTATAATATTTTACTCTATTCGAATTTCAGTTCGAACATAAATAATTATTCAGAACGCGAATGACAATTTTATAAACTTAACGACAGTACAAATATTCATAGGTGGGTCGTGGGTACCTATATGTTCAAACTTACTGACGAGATTATTTTCGATTCGGATTTCCGTCCAAACACGGCACTGCGCACCATTAGATCATAACATATTGATATTATTAGGTACGTTAATTAGGATGATAATAATGTGCCATGATAATAATCATTAATCATATTGACTCCTTCGACCACTTCCATCGTCGGAGCACACTAGGTTCTCTCTAATAAGTTTCTGCTCTACGCGTTCCTACTCGGGCCCATTTGGACTTATGGATCTCAACTACGGTCAATACTCCCAACGCGTCAACCGCATCCAAAGATTCCAACCTAAAGCTTTACGTGCAATTCTAAAATCACCATTCTACGTCTCCAATCACACCCTCCAATCTCATCTCAAAGCACCACATTTTGTCTCTGAACTAGCCAAAACTCACTACAAGCGTTTCAATATTTTCCGCCTAGCCCGCCATGCGAATCCCTTGATCTCCGATCTATCATCCGCTTCAATCCCAGATTACCCGATTAAAAGACAGTGGTGTCTAGGCCTGTTAGCCTAACTAAATTCCTAGTCATGTCGCAGTACCTCCGCCGGGAGGCCTCTGCAGTCTGTTAAAAATGCATTTTATTTTTATTTTATTTTAGCTATATCTTGTACCATCAATTGTTCTTATTGTTTTTTTTTTTTTTTTTGCAACAGATTGAACAAAATAAAAAAACTTATGAACAAAAAAAAATAAAAATAAAATCATTATTATTGTTATTATTATATTATGTTAATGGGCTTCGAGTAAAATATCACGATAATAACATTACTATTAATATGGTTTCGCAGTAATATCGACGATCTCCGAGCCCCTGCTCGGGTGGATAGATAACTTTAATGGACCGGTCGGCCTCATGTTGGCGTGTGGTAAGGGATTAACGCTGGTCACGCTGGCTCATAAAGATTCCACTCCGGACTTTATGGCCGTCGACGTCTCGATTAAGGCGATGATCGTGGCCGCTTATCACCGTGGGACACACAAGTATGTTTTTGTCGGTTGAGTACCTAATAATAATATACGGCCTATAATAACGATGACATATTGTGTTAAAAATGAAATTTCGGACAGCCACAGGATACCGCGACCCGAGGAGTGGTTGCTCAGCAGCTGCAGGTCGTTGCCGCCGCCGCCGCCGCTGTCACAGAGAATAACCGCACCGATAATAACCGCTTAATATTATTCATAATATTAAACTCGGTGGCGGCGCGATCAAATTTTATTCGTGGAACAGAAAACATTGTTCAACCCGCCTACCCTTGCAGAAGTACGCTGATACTGAAATGTTCCTACGCCCAAAAACCTGTCATTCGGTCACAGCTGACAACTAGCCACTCACTGCCAACCCGCCCACCCACTCACCCAGCAATTTCTTATCTGGGACAGCGGGACCTGTTTGTCCCTAAAATTCACTCAAGCTCCCCTCCCCCACCAATCAAAGGGCGCCGGTCGTCTCTATTTGACAGCGGTGTCATACTGTGTTGGAAAATGTATATTTTTTTAGTTTTTACTAACATGTTTTATTTTATACATTTAAAGGAAAAATACATTTTAATTTTCATGTACAGTACTTACCAATGATAATAATAATAATACAATTTAATATTTTACTGTCATTACTAGACGAGTGCGTTCTATTATGTTTTTGGTGAATAATGACTGGTTGAATATTCCGGCTTCGCCCGTGTTCAGTTTTTTTTATGTTGTGCATTTTTTCCGAAAGATCTGACCAAGGAATAACGTTTTAAATTTTTTACAATTTGAGAGCAGTGGGTTTCTAGAATACAAAATTATACTGACCAAATTTCATACTCAAAGCTTCCGCGGTAGGCGATGATGAAACAGTCAGTCAATATCAGTTGTTTTGTATAGATGTATAGGTGTTCATAATAATTATTGTAATATTAATATTTATATATTCTATGAAAGCACAAAATCGAAAAATATCGATTAGTAAAAATAACTTTTCGACGGATAATTTTTTGAATACATGAACTCTTTTAAGTGTATGAATTTCAGACAGTTGATCCACAACCGTACAATTATCCACAATTAACCGTTCAATGCGTCAGTCGTCTCCATCAACTTAAAGTACAAAGTTTCGAACTTTGAGAAGAGATAATTAGATTTAAATTAACACATTTGTAATGAAATGCGTTTAAAATACAAAAATACCCTAAAAATATAAAAAAGTAATCCACTAAAAATCCGAAAATTTAATAAAATGCAAAATAAAAGTTGCATTTTTTAATTCCCCGATACTTCAAAAAGAATTTTGTGTTTGGGGAACATTGTTCTAGAGCTTCCATAAAAAAATTAATTTGAGTTTAAATTCGTAATTTAAACTAATAATTAATGTAATATCATTATGTTATTGAGATTCCGTGACAAGGCATGTGTTCTGTTCCTATTCCTAAACACTTTTAAACAGTCTCCGTGTGTAGATAAAAAATTGAAACTTTTCACTTGACTCATCTATTTGCATAATGTAGTTATTTTACAGTCAGATAAAAGTGGTCATTAACTTATTTAAAAGTTTAAGTTGAGCTCAAAAGTATATTTGTTTTTAACTTTTTGACGTGACTTGTCATGATGGGTCTCCGCGGGAATTTTTATAGGAGGGATTTTAAATTATAACCTGTTCTTTTATAAAAAAAAATTACAATTGTTTCAAAAATAAAACTCCTGACTTTATTAATATATTATTATAATATCATATAAGTCTAAATTAAAAGTCACAAATCATACGTTGTTAGGTTCCATTGTTATGTTAAATTATAATATAAATGTTTGGTCAAACAGAACTGAAAACCTATTAGGTGAAAGGAAATTATCTCCTCTTGGCCGCTGGCCACAGGACGTCTATAATGTATAGTATATAATATAGCTAGTTGATTAATTTTTTGATTAACTTAAAAACTGAACTAGTTTGACTAGCTGTCGACATCAATTTAAAATCAAAAATATTTTTGAAATGTATGGTAATTTCGATCTTTTATACTAATATTACTCTACACCAGTGACCTCAAAATCAAATTATCTGCGGGCCAAATCTTAAGTGTCCCTTTTTTTTTTATTTATACACTTAATAAAGGCGAAGATACATACAAAATCCATTTACCTAAATGATTTGATATACTATGAAATTGCTTTTATTATAATTACTATTACCAAAATTATTTCTAAAAATATAAACAAAATAGTTGTCTATTTCACTTATTATTACTACAAAATTATCATTGAAAAATATGATGAACATCAACTTTCAAAAAAAAAAAAAATAGAATTTAAATTTAAAGTTTTTACAATTTTCCGGTAGATTTTTTATTTTTGTTCAAAATGTATTTTTATTATGGGGCTTATGTGGCCTACGGGCCGTATGTTCGAGTCCCCTGCAGCTATACAGTATACACTATACAGTATACACGAGTTTTAAATAAAAACAAAATATTACTACAACAATAGTAAGCAATTACTCATAGATGATATACTATAATTTCGGTCCTGTTTCTTGATAAAACAATATTGACTATATATTTTATTGATAAACACGAGATTTCCTTTACGTGATCCACGTACTGATTAAAAAGTAGTTTAAATTTTCAGCAGTTATCTGCTTCGTGATTTGGCTGATCTTAAAACCGCGGGGTCCTCACCGATATAATTTTTTAATAGTGCGACAAGGGAAATTTCGCCCGTTTTAAGATGACTGTATAATGTATATATTGCATGAATTTAGTAATATTGAATAAAATACAATTTTTTTCTTTCTCACCTTACATTTTTTAAAGCGACATTTTTCAAGTGTAATCGAATGCGACTTCGCCTTGTCGTACTAAACCAATTATATGACGCACTGACTGCAACTCACCGGATAAGCTCCTGTCGAATAAGAAAAACGATAGACAAGGCAGACAGCAATATTATAATTTGTTTTTACTACCTCCAACTTTATTACGAACGTACTGCTTCCATCACAACTGCGACTCACACACGACACACCACTAAGATTCAGGTGGTGCTAAAGTAGTGAACAGCAGTAAAATGTAGCCAATCGATACTGCATTATGTTCACATAATGGTTTAAATGCACCTAAAAAAGGTGCCACAAACCAAATACAAATACGAATTAGAATACAAATACAAACAAAATATTTAAGTAGGTACACATAATTAGACGAAAATATTTTCATAATGGTGTAAGCAACATCATAGATAAATTAAATTAAAATATAAATTATTTCGCAAATGTTCTACTATAGTTTTTAAAATTAAACAGAGGGGCTCCTTAATCTCCCGGCCACGAAGGTTGCCCATGATTGTCGCCTGATAATAATGATTACAAATGGCCTGCGATAATGTTTGCACCAAGTCATCAACAATAGATAAAGCTGAAATGGCACACCTGTTACGAGTGCTAATCCATTCGGGTTTTTTTTTAGTATTAAATAGTTTGTTAAAAATGTATTGTTCTTGCTTCGATCCAAAAAATAATAAACACAGCATTGCGCAAACATTTTATGATTTCTTTCCACGATCAAATTTATATACGCTTAAATCATATATTGTGTGATCTGATTAAAGTTCATAAATATAATTTGCAAAACAAATTTAAGATATGTCAAAAAAAAATCTATAGAATCGAATGGTAAAATATGAAACGACGCTGTGCTGATTATTGTGATATTAAAACGAAAAATTAATCTCTATAATTGCATTTTTTTTTTTTTTTAATTACTTCTGTAAACAAAACGAACAGAACCCAATTTTAAAAGTTGACCAACTTATAAGTTTTTTACTTAAATTATCTATGCCAAACAAACAAACTAAAACCATAATAAATACTAATAAAATATTAAACCGTTGATAATTGGCAGTCAGCTGAAATGTGGAATAACGTTGAAAAAAAAAAAACATCCATCTAACCACCGTCGCAATATTACTGCTATCATAATATTATTATGTATTTATGTACCTCGCGCGAGTCGGCCAGTCGCGAGTGCCCCATGCAGTGGGTACCCACTTTTCGCAAAATCGATATTTTTCCAAAGCTTCGCATTGTCGAGTCCCCGGCGAGAGTAGAGTTTCCACGACGTGAAGGGGTTCGTAGACCACACACAGCACGAGTGGACCCAGTGGACTGGGTGGTGGTTTTCTAGTCTGGGAAAAAAAAACCGTTTAATAAGCGGTGTGCAGCCACATGATTATTATACTTCTCGGCGATCGATTTCGTGTCAAACGACAGAAATTTAATGGGAAATACCGTTTTCAAGACAAGTACAATTTGTACTCGGTAAAATACGTAATATTAATAGCATTATCATTCGTGACAAGCGATGTTCTTTTTCCAAGACAATTTCTATGTCTCTAAAATGCATTACTATGATATTATTGGTTTATATTATAATTGTTCTGAACGTTTTTTTAAAAATATTGTATACTGCTCCGTTCAGTGTCGTGTCGAGCTACTTTGCATGGGAGCAAGCAACGATTTTAGTCTGCCCACCCACAGATTTTGCTTATTATTTAGCATCAACATTTGTTTATACAATAACAATACATTTCTTAAAAACTTTTAAGTTCGTAACGCATATTTATTGATAGCTTCTGTTTGATTATTTTCTTTCTTTCTTGAATTAATTATTTTTAGATTTTGAGCCGAGTGATTTATATTGTGTAGCTATATGATGTCTTTAAGCCAACAATTATTTTTAAAAAAAAATTAAGTTTTCAAGAGGAATTAAATAAAATAAGTTACGCTTCAACAACTGTGTGTGTGTAACATGATAAATTTGAAACGACATAGTGCTTGTCACTAGCTTTTTGCGAAATATAATTATTGTACTTTTATAGAAATAAAGTGATTCTTTTTAAATTAAACACGCATTTTACCGAAAACTATTAACCGAAAAATGTAAAATATTTTTCTTACTAATATTTTAATAGAGTCCTATATGTTATTATATTGTTCGTATTTAGTGTGCAATATTTTACAGTTAGTAACAAAAAAGGAATAAAAAAAGCATGACCAAAAATTAACTTAAGCTAGGTATGAAATTGAATAAAAAATATTGAAGAATTGATTAAAATTTGTTGAGAAATTAACCTCCTTGTATTTAGCTAGATTTTTAGTTGTGAAACTGACTCTGTTGTCGGACAAAATGTATTTTGACGATATAACATTACGTTTAATACATTTCAAAAAAAATTAAATTATCTGATTTGATTTTTTCTTTTGAATAAGCTGCTGCATACAATTTTCATTTCAAATTCCAAAGCAGAAAAGAAACAAAACAAAAAATTCGAAATTGTCGCTGTAAGTATAATATAGTAGGTTTTGAGTTTTGAGTGATCTTCTTTATTAAGTATACATCGCCGAAGATCACTGCAGTGATTAATGCGTTGAGTTTTAATTCGATGATAAATCATTATCTATTTATAAAGATTTTCTTTGATGATTTATCCATTTGACTAAAATGGTGATTCATTTTTGTTCTTAGTACCTACTTGCCTACCTATAGGTTGTACAAAAGCTATTATCTGCTCCACAAGATTAAGACAAACACAAAAACGAATCTCGTATCATCGTAGAACCAATAATAGGTACGTGCACTGCTCAGAGTTTACAATCGAATTTCAATGAGTTGTTGATATTAGTTATAACTTTATAAGTATTTACATTTTAAAGTTTTGATGAGTGCAGAAATAGAGTTAGGTACCTAAGTCCAAGTATTTAATGTTTAGACGAGCGGACCAGAGTGGCTGTTCCGAAAACTGTGTGTCCACTACTACACTGCTCGTCAGTCGTCAAAACTTTAAAACTTAAATACTCGTACAGCAGTTGTAACCAATTAACAACTAGTTTGAAATTCGATTTGAATATATTGAAATTCTTTAAAAACATATTCTGCTTTGAAATAAAATGTGATTGTGCCATTCGAAATAGTAGCTAAAGTTATATGATAAACGGAGGAATGGAGCAGTACAGGGATGGATGATCCTCAAAATATCGGTCCAATTATTTGCTCGTCAATACATTAAACACTAGTTATAGTGAAACCTCTAAATACCGGACACTCTAGGTCACTGTAATCGTATCCACTATTCAGAGGGTTCAGGCTGTATAGAAAGTCTGTAGTTTGTTACCGAAAAAATATCTGCTATTCGGAAGTGTCCGTTTGGGGAGGGTCACTGTATAAATAATTAACTCGTAATGGAACTCGTTGGAAATTAAATTATTCAAATACTGAAATTTTAAATGTATAGACGATTATTTTGCTTTTGAAAATTAAACTAAAAACGCGTATGGTGGCGTTCAAAGAAGTAAGCAAAAAAAAAAAAAGAACGTCTCAACATCGTGTTAGGAAATTTTTTATAATTTATATAAAAAATCGGTATTCACCTGAAAACAATCGTCTAGTAAAGGTGGTTGAATTGTTTTTCGTTCATACCATATTAATAACTACAGATGTTGCAATTACCTCTATATATTATGTGTGTTATTTTATTATTATGATTTTGTGAATTTAGCTCGTCATCGGACAACCCACTGACGGTGTACAACTGCTCGTCGGTGAAGAAGTCAATTACCAACAGTAAACTTATGCAATTCGCGGTGAAGTATTTTATGCTGCACCCGTTCGATGAGATTCTGTGGAGGCCGAGAATTTTGATCACGGGTTCCAAGCGGCTCTTCCACTACCTCACGATTATCCAGCAAGTCTTGCCGGCTATGCTCATCGATTTCGTACTGAAGACTACCGGACAACCGCAACCAATGTGAGTCACAAATTCGAGCCGAGCGTTTTGGGTTTCGATCAAATTTCACGAAATTGATGTTAAAAAACATGGTCACAGTCGAAAAACCCAACAGCATGTTTCGAATTTATTCTGGGTATTGTGTCAATCGAAATAATTATTGCGTTACGAAATATAATCGTAGAGCATTATTTTTTTACGTACCAATCAGGTGTACCCCCGCGTCCACCGCAAATGCGTACGGGAAAGAAAAAAACAACGTCCTTACTAGTTTCAAAATGTTCTCATAATATTATTGTTATTATTCGAAATATTATCGTTAGAAGTACACAACGGTCTACGATACTTCGCGTGTTGTTGACAGGCACGCGCTGTGCGGGACGGTACGTAATGTGAACATAAAACGTATATATTTTAATAGTGAGCGTAATGAAACGGAAATCGTCGTTAACTGCTCACAGCACTGGTTGGTCACCGTGCACGATTCACCAATCACTATTCGTTCACCCCCCGTCCCCGTCTTCGGCACGACAGACAGCTCGGCAGTGGAAAATCTGATTTTTGGGATTTTTAAATTCCCAGTATACGTCTTGTCGGAGGCATACCGTACGAGTGTCCCGCGGAGACGCAGACTTTTGCTTTTCGAAAGTACAATCAAAACGATTCTCCTCGGACATAAGCCCCGCGAGTCGTGCAGGGCCGCTACGAAATACGTCGACCGCAACGTCGATGCATCATATTATATCATGACGTGTATTCGCGTTTGGTTATACTTGTACGACGATCCAAAGACCGTTTAGCAAAAAAAAAAAAAAACACAACGAAATGAGCGTGCCGGCTTGATCACGGGGGGAGGGGGGAAAAATGTATATCATCGAATATCGTTGTTGAGAATCCAATTTATAGACGATAATATTATATAGGTATTCCTGTATTCGATACAGCAAGTTCGTTGAATCCGTTAGTATTAGGTCAGTCCGTTAGGGACATAGACCACCTGTCGCTTGTTTTGGATCTCCTCGTGCAAAGCATACACTGGCACATTGTTCGTCCACAATATCGGTTGATTATATTGTAATTATTTATTATTATAATACGGGCACGTGTATTAGGTAATTATTTTCAACCCATGACAGTTTTTTGCGAGGATTTAGATTTTACCAGGGATGGGCTAAAAAGTAAGTACGAATAGTGGCCCCTCCCCTCCAATCGTGCCCATGGTTATTAGCTCCATGTACAAAATACAACCGTGATCATGATTTTGTCAATTTTCTTAAAAATTGTGATCATAATATTGTTAAAGGTATGTGAAACAAATCTTGTTTTCACCTATTATCACCGGTGTACTTTATTATTTATGTTGAAGTGTCAAGAGTGTAGTGTAGCAAAGACAGTGAAATATATTTTTTAGACGATTATAACTTCAATATCCATGATTTCGACTGCGGAGCGACAGTTTTAATCATCCCACTTATATAATATTAGCAGGGCTGTGAATTTAATGCACCAAAAAACCTTAAAAAATGCAATAAAAATGTCAAAAATATGCAATAAAATATGCACTTAAAATGCAAAAAAAAGGAATGTAAAATGTCAAAAATTATAGTATAAAATTTATTAAAAATGGTTTTTAATTTAATTTTTATATTTATATTAATATTGGATACAGGATATTAAACATTAGTACAAAAAGTGTTTAAAAAGTAGGTATTTAAAAAAAAAATAAATAATAAAAATGTTGATTGAATTTGAATATACTTAACTAACTTGCTATTCACCTGAAACATATTTAAAAAAATGTTGTTTGTATACATTTTGTTAAAATAATGAAACAAACTTAAAGATATTTATTTCCAAGTACCTTTACTGTTGCATTGGACAACAAGTGCTCGTTTGATGTTCTCAAATAAAAATGACTGCCGATTGTCTGTCAACAAATTTTTAAATGCCGAAAAACTCCTTTCAACATCTACAGACGTAATAGGGGCATATCGCATAAAAGCCATGTCATCGAAGCTGAGGTCATCTGGGAGAGACGTTCTGGATAGTTCAGTTCCCTCGAGAATTTTCGATATATCGCAAATTGTATTAAAACCCGTATTTTTTTCTAATGTACCAATTATTGTATTTGCAATATATCTACCCGTTGTATCAGTTGTTTCGTCAATTGAAATCCAAATTTTTTTATTTGATGCATACGTTCTGATTTCAGATAAAGTGTCTTCGTAACATTCGTGTACATTTGTTTTTCTTAATGTTGATTGGTCAGGTATCGATTTATTAGTATATTTTTCTAGAAATTTACGAAAAGTCGGTTGCGATAATTTATTCAGTGGTATATTCTCACTTAAAAAAGCTTTACAAAGATCACTATTAAAACATGAGTTTGACGAAGTTGTGATCAAAGTTTGAAGACATGAAGTTTCTTTATCGTTTTTTTTTTTGGACACCTACAATATGTTTGTTACTTGCTACGTGTTGTTGTATCGTAAATTTTTTTTCCGCCGAAACCCTAACTTCACAAACATTACAGTAAAATATTGTACCATCCGTACTGAAAATATCACCGCCAAATTAATCGACGTACTTCCGTAATTTTGACGAGAAAAGCGGTTTTGATTTCGGCATTTTACTGTTAACACACTTCACTGTACACTCGCGAACGCCGAATAGGTACTAAACGATATTATACTGAAATACCTACTAATAACTTAATCTGGAAATTCGTGACTGATATACGATACGCCACAATAACTTATCTAAGTTATCTAGTTGTCTAGCAATTGCCTTATTTTATCGAATCGTTAACTTTGCCTAACCCGTATGGCGTATATAGCGTGTGACTTGTGTAAAATATTATTTAATAAAATATAAATTTGACATAATATATACAGCCCGTGTAAAATAAAAATAAAATGTTTTCAAACAAGTCAATTGACGGAATTTGATTAAAAATACTAGAAAATGAACTAAAAAAGCAAAATATGACCTAAAATGCGTAAAAATGACCTAAAAAATTAAAAACGTCAAAAAATGCAAAAATATGCAAAATAAAAGTTTCATAGATGGATTCGTTAATACATAATTCAAATTATGTACTCACAAAGCTATGTTTTACAATCACCAAAAAAAAATGCACTTTCCTATGAATTCACAGCCCTAAATATTAGTTTATGTTGATTTGTCTGATAATATTTTTTGCGTTTGCATCATGTTATAGGTACGTACTGTGGATAATATTACCATTTTCAAAATAGTTGCAAATAATGTTTAATGTTTATAATAACTAAAAAATATTGATCTACGCATTTGCAGGAAAAACATTTTTTTTTAGGTTGGTGTACAAAAATAGATATTTTACAAATAGCAAAACGTTTGAATCAGGTAGCAACGAATCAAATAATTTCGAACCTTTTATTTTGAATTACACTTTTTGTGTTTTTGCCTTTCTTTTTTTCATTGCTTTATTCTATGTTTTTTTAATAATAATTTCCGTAACTTTTTACACGCATTTGACGAATTAATTTTTGATTTTCGTCTTGTAAACCGTTTGTAAACATGGTTTTTTTTTCAAAAAAAACTCGTTAAATTTCTATACTTTCTCTGTCGTAATTTTTTTGTGTATTTTTTAGAACGTGCATTTTATACTGCATTTTTTTTTCTTTTTTAGATTTTTAAACGCATGTCTTATAGTTTTTTAGTGCCAGATAATATATTATCTACAGTAATGAATGTTTGAGCCGAATGTCTTACAGTAATATCATTAAAATGAATTGCATAATATTTGTTTAATACCTGCCCATGATTTAATGCGCATATTAATGGCATAATAATATAATCATATTATAATTTATGGGCTCGATATTCATATCGTGTTGTTGGAATATCCGAGTGTCGTCAAACGCCATGAATTCAAAAACGAAAAATACAGAAATTACCATAACGATATAATTAATACAAATGTAACGAGCGGTAGTAACAGTTAGATAGGTATATTTATGCGAAGTTATAGTTCAAACGACAAAAAGACAATAATAATGACGCGCTCGTAATAAACACACACGTCGTATAATATTACAATATTGAAAAGGTTATGGCTAGCCTGTAGCCAAAGGCAATTATTTCGCCCGTCCTGTTTTCTCAGGCTTAATCTGTTTTTAATTTATTTTTTTTAGGTTCTGGTTGGATTATAGTATTGAATCTAGATCTCGATGATTGGCACTCGATATGCAGACACCCTGTATCAGTGGTCTGAACGAAAACCTTTTATTTTTATCCAAACATATAGCATCAAAAATATCATAGTGTTTAATGTAATATGAATTCTGTTAGTGATTTTAAATGCTCGTCTCAATGAATAATAAACTGTTATACATATTACATAATATTATGTAAAACTGTAAAAGGTATATGATATTATGTATGGCAGCCACGTATCCAGGACTTTTTTTTGGACAATGTTTTGATTTTATATTTAAAAATCAAATTGCGGGGAGGCTTTATACTCTATAATATCGTCATCATCAATCTTCATATTATTATTATTATTATTATTATAATGTCGAATAAAAAATAGAAAACCTAAGCATATTATAACAAATATAACTTTTGCATAAATACCATCCTCCCACTCAAATGTCGAAGAACTCTGTTCAAATTTATAAACTTCAACATTTAATTTTTAATACCTAGCCATATAAATAACAAAACAACAAGAATAAAATATAGGTTCTTCCGTTGCTGACTGAATTTGAATTATAAATTGTCTACGCTTTTGGGTTCCTAACCAAGACACCTTATATCACTGTTGCGTCCGTCCGTCCCTTAGTTACCAGTACATAGTTGTGATTTTTGATACTAAATTAAGGTATTTATTCATTGTCCCTAGTTACAGTAAACATTAACTGTATGTCGTGGAATTATGATTTATTGCGTTCATTGAAATACGTTTGATTATCAGGAATTTAGCACGCTCCTAATTTGTTTCATATTATTTCGTATCGATAAGTAAACCATAACTACGACACAATAACAATTGTCTAAAATCAATAATAGCATTTTAAATATAGGAAAACGTTGAAAAAAGTCTAAGTATAGATAGTTATGAAAGACGTAAAAGAAATAGTGCCTTGATTCTCAAGTATAGGCATTTCATAGTACATACATGTTTACAGTAGAGCATTAAATGTTCATTCAGGGACCTCTTCCACGACTTCTCGGTTTTCTGATTTAATGTACAAATTATTTTTAAAATATAATAATATACTAATCATTAGTTGGTACTTGAGGCCTACACATTTTAATTTTCAAACTTGTTTATACGAGCACCCAAATTTTCGTACCTTCGGTTGCTTGGCTTGGCTGGAAGTAAGGAACAAATAAATTATGATGATCGTCAAGGTTAGGACTGTTCAATTCAAAACTACTAAGGTCTAAGACAAAAAAAATTATCAAGGAGCCCGTCCGTATTCAGGCGATATGCAATCCCCTCGCCAAGGTCCATGGCATTTGTGTCGGTCGCGAATGATGGTGGGTGGGTGTGGGTAGTGTGGGTGTGACTGTGTACACGTCAACGGCACCGCCGACCAAAACTAAAATTACTTTTTTTTTCTTAGTAAGTGGGCGGTTTCTACATTGGACTTTGATTTTTGATTTCGAAAATAATAAAAAACAAATCCTATAGCTTGTAAAAATCAGTCATATTCAAAATTTAGTCTTAATAGTTATTTAGTCTGGAAATATAATTCGAGTCAAATGCTCCCTGTTAAAAGTGTTTCTCTTTCCAAAAAAAAAAAAAAAAATATTGTAATCGGACCACTCTACGAGACTCTTCAACATTTGTAATTTAAGTTAATATGTTTGTGAGCAAAAAAGCAGGTCACGTGAAAGCCCTTGAATAATGTTGTAATTATAATATATTATTATCCATATAAAAAAAAAAGGAACCGCGTTGAATTACTTATTGATTGCTTTTCACTTTTTATGTATGTAACAATAATTCTCGGTCATTCTCAACTTATAGTTGTTGGTGTCCGGGTAAACAAATAAAACAACGGTTGTTTAAATAATAATTCCACTAATTTGCCACTTACAAGCAAAGAAGAAAGTTTGCTGTCCCTTAATAATTATCTTTTTTTTTCTTAAACAAAAAAAAAAAAACAAAAACTGTATTGTTATTATAATTATTTATTTAAACATTTACAAGACGTGACTATTGGCTATAGTTTAAAAGACATCAAAACATAAATAATTAAATAGGATCATTTTCACTTTAATTAAACAGGGTTCCGTCGACTTTTGACGATTTGAAAGATCGTGTTAATAATAGAGCTGTAAGATTTAAAATTCGTTTTGTTGAAATTTTCCGAAACATCGAAATTGTTCAAGTTTTTTTTTAATTTTTTAATTTTTTCTTTTTTTTTTGTGCTAGAACCGGTAAAGGCAGGCCGTAGTCACGTTTCCAATTTCGACTTAAGTAATAGTTATATCGAAAATTCGTAATATTGTGTATTCAGTAATAATAACAGAAACTGTGATAATTATTATAGTTACAATAGGTAGGTAGTAATAATAAACAGACTACATTATAAGAATACTATATTGTCAGAAAATGTTTTTTGTAAAATTAACAAATAATCTACGATTTCAAACAAATCAACAATTACAAAAAACCACCAGTATACACAACAAAATTTCAAAAGTTTCAGACAAAAAATTATTCATGAAAATGTACAAGTCTGATAATGTTTTAAAGCATTTGAGTGGGATGTATTTAAACATTTTAAAAATATTTAATATAATGTGTTGGTTTCATATTGAAAAATGGAATTTGTATTTGAAAATCAACGACCTTTCAAAATGAAATAGAATTATTATCCGTCACATTTCAGATTTGTCTGTGATAATCATTATAAGTCATTTGACTTGTAGTTAATATCAAATTATTAAACGTTTGTTATTTATCTTATAAGTTATAATTCATTAATAATTATTTATATTCAATGCAATTTTCAAACACTGATCATCGAATTATTTACTCGTTTTCAGTAGCTTGGTAAAATTGCAACGAAAAATATACATAGCGACAATGGCGTTGTCGACTTTCACTTTGCAGACTTGGACGTTCAAGAATACAAATTTCTTAGATCTGCTCACGCACATCCCGGACGATGAAAAAGACGATTTTGATTTCAGATTCGACGATCTCAATGTAGAAGATGCGTTTATAACTTGCCTTACTGGAGCTCAAAAATATTTGTTCAATACCAATCCCAACAAAATAAAGCAAGCGAAGAAGAAATTGAAAAAGTCAGTTTCAGTCGCTAAATATGTGGTACCTATATGTAATATAATAATTCTTGTTTTTTCTTCTGGTTTTCAGATTGGTTTGGATCGATCGACTTTTGATAACACTGTTTTTTGTTGTCATTGCTTACTGCTTCTATTCAATCATATTATCCTTGAGTTTTTGAATATTAAAATATTCGGCACGACTTTTAAATTATACTTTTATGTCATAATAATATTGTCATGAATCAAACATATTTTAACAGACCATCTCAAACATGAAAATTCAATAAAGGAATACAATTATTTACCAGAACACCTCTTCGAACTTCTAAGACTACAAACAGAGATTAACAATAAAATAATATATTTTTTTTAAAAATCAGATGTTTTATATAAACTAATTTCGTAATATAAATTAAGAAAAAAATGTGTAAAAAAAAAATGTAAACACACATCACGCTTATAAGCTTTGTTGTTGAAGCCAATTTCGTGACTGTCATACAGTGTCGTGTAACGATTTAAGTATAAGACATATTTTATAAAAACATAAAAAAATTCACATGGATGCTGCCATGATGCATTGTATAAATAAATGTACATCGTCGAGATTAACTCAAAATAATCTCATTATTATTTTATTATTTTTTTTAATGATAGTAAGCTCCGTGATCGAGCAGTCAACTCTTAAAACTGGACAGTTCAAATAAATGACTAATCCACTCGAAATATTTCGCTCTCAGTCCGAAATGAAAATCCCTCGCAGTCATGCACCGAATTAAAAAGTCCTACTGAGTTAGAGTCAAAACTATATTTTTGATCAGTTTATCTTTGACCGTCAAAACGTTGAGTACGTTTTCTTAAATGTTTGTTGTTATTCTTGGCTAAAACCTAAAAAGGGGGTGGCACCACACAGGACATAATTATTAAGCTATTCAAAGCACGTCTCGCCCCGACCCGTACCCCCAGTCCTGGAAACTAAATCAGATTAGCAATTGAAATAATCATAATAATAATGATAATAAATGTATACCGTATATATGGTCATTAGGTATACGACACTCGTTGATTCCAAAAGTATTGATGTTTTTGAAAAAAAATTACAAAATTTATTTTTTTTACATGGTTTCGAGTCGTTTCAAAAGAAGCTTTTTGTTTTTTAACTCATCCTTATAATTTTTTTAATTCTTCTACTTTTCGAAAGACAACGTACGGTTTTAATTTCATCTTCGAAAGCAGAATATTTTCCTAAGTTTACATATAAAAAATCGAATTTAGGAAGAGTAGTTTATGGGTTATAAGTATTTAAGTTTACGTGAGCGGATAGTTGTGCGCAGACTGCAGGTCACGACGTGGTTACGCTGCAAAATGTTTGTTGGTCCACTACTCTGCCCATTTAAACTTTAAACACTTATAAGTTGGTTCGGGATTTGTAACACTTATATAACCATCAAAAAGCACTTAAAAATGTTTAAAATAAGAAAAAAAAAGCACGGCAAAAACTATCAACACAATTTTTTCCATGCTATTGTTTAATTTTTATAATATAGAAGAAATATTCATCTATAAAAAAATCTAAAACTTTTAGCCTTTTTGAGTTTTTGAAAACATTTAAATTTTGTATTATACTTCATTACTCAATTTTCTACTAACAGGGAAAAAATTGATTAATTTTGCCGATTGGTAAATAGTCTCATAATTGAGAGCATATTTTTCTAGGTGATCACCTCCTGAAGTAAAGGCACGAAACGGCTCTCAGTATAAAAATATCAAATGTGAAGCTGAAAAAGTTTGGCAATGGGTGTGCACGATTCTAAAATATATGTACTTTAAGAAATTCTCGATCAAGTTGTATTTTTTGCATTTAAAAAGTGAACATTTTCGTATAGAGCCACCAGCCCCCCCCCCCCACACATACAATTCTGGGCTATTGTACTAAATGTTTATCCGGGCTCTTTATAAAACTTTCAAAAATACCTTACCATGCTTACCGTCTATATAAATAACAATTTTTGGAATAATATATATTTTTTTAATTATATGTCAGGCCAGCTAGTAAATTATTTCAACATTTATAATGTCTTTTTTATTTAAAAAAATAAAGTTTAAAAAAATAAAAGGGAGATATAATAATCTATTCTGGCTTACAAGCGATAGGGAAGACACAGACTTCAACCACGATGATTTCTAGGTAATCAATGGTTAACCAGCATTTTGATATTATCGAAATGACTAAATACGTATACACATACATATATTTCATAAAATGTTATTTCACGATATTATTTAACGTGAAATAGGTGTTTCTAACAAAATATCAAAAATCACAAACAAATTTCAACGGGCCCCCCTGTGCTCGAGGTCCACCGGCCCCCACCCTCACTTGGGCACCGCTGGTTTGAACGAATGTCGACAATCACCGCCACTGCAGTATAATAGCCTTCGCGATGCGTCATTATTGTGTTCCTCTACAACTGCAACTATATTATCGTGTAAAAAACAATTACAGTCATATCAACAATAATGTTATCATCGACGGCGATGCCGAGCACAGCCGAACGAAATAAACAAAACTATATAATATACGTCGCTTCAAACTCGTACCGTAAAACGCTTGCGATATTGGCTGTTCGATCACAAGCACACGTAATAATAATATTATTATCGCCTATATACCTACCATCGGCGCCGATTTAATGGGGTCATTATTTCGTTCGGGGTTCGGGGGTAAATCGATTTCGGTAAACTCTGCGCACCCGAGGCGATCGTTTATAATATGACGTGGACGCGATCGGTAGGTATATAATATTATAATATTATTACCTCCTCGATTTCGGGACCGGCCAAACCGAGGCAGCCGGTATTTTGGGCGCTTCGCCTCCCTAATCGAATTCGCGGCGGCCAAACTCCGCCTCGGAATCCGTCTTCGCCGCGGCGGGTGCTCCGAGAATCAAGCGGCAGGCGAAACCGACGACGGACCGTTCTAATTGCGATAATATAATATGTGTGCGAGTCTTAGCCGGCGCGCGATGATCCGACGACGAATTCCGTTCGAAAACCAAATTCACTGGTAAGACAAATCGCGTCGTTTGGCCGAGGCGATTAAATTTTAATCAAGTCATGCGGCGTTGTTATTACGCGACCCACGTAGTGATATATATACGTGTAATAGCTAGTGGTACTCGGGTATAAGTTTTATTGTTTTCGATGTATCGATTAATTATTATACTACTATATATTATCAATGCGACTCGTTAGTTTAAACACTTAATTTTACCACTGCTCTCGCTGCGGCTGCTGCTGATGCTGATGCCGTCGTTGCTATAAATTATTTTTCTCCTCTGTCCACCGCCGCCCGCGCGACTCACGCGAACGACGACGCGCCCAACGAAATTTGAATAAGCTCGAAAAAAAAATTATAAAATTGAAAAATATTCACATAAATTAGCCAACTGAAAATCGATTATTGATATATAATATTATTGGCTGTCTCTGATTTTCGAGCAACACCCGCAGCAGGAGGTGTCCGTTTTTCCGTTTCGAGTCTTTATATAATATTGTATGGGGAAGAGAAGGGTTTTAAAATTGCATTGAATTAATTTTGTCGAAATATTTCATTTATCTGAAAAATGAAAATGATTGGTTAATTTAGCATGGAATACTAATGAATAATTAACAATTAATAGCCAACACTCAATAGGGAGTCGATTGATAAGACGTGATGCATTAACCGATATAATTTAATTATAATAATTATGATAGTACCTAATTTATAACCATTAACACAGCAATTCGTAAACCTTGGCTGATAAGTCATTCGCTATCGATAATATTTTCTGTATGTAACGAATAATTAATTCTGATCATCGCTGTAACCGAATGCTTTTGGAAAAAAAAATTGTAGACAAAATATTATGTCAAATGAAATGTTTCATAATATCCAGAATTTCAGAACCCTATTAAAACTATATTGTTCAGTATCATAATCGCCCTGCGGTGTTTGTATTTAGAAATAAGCCGTTTTCTTTTTCGAGTTATTCTCGTGAAAAAATTGTGAGACAGTATGCATTTAATATTTTGTATCTAGGTGGTGGATATTTATATTTATATTTATGTACACCTTGATTTGTGTTAAATTAATCACTCAGAAACTTTTAAAATCGTGTTTCATTATCTACACAAGGCGATTCGTTAAGCGCGCTCATCGCAATAGTCATATCATTATGTTTTAATCGTGTACATATTATTCGAATTCTGATGTTTAAGTGATCTCATTATTGATCATTATTTATGTTTATTAGTACCCTGGATTCAAAGTCTCAAAGTCGATATTATCTCTTCCTATAGTTATAATGCAACTGTGACAAATAGCTGGTACCTATACACACATTCAATAATTATTTACATGTACAATATCAATAAATTATATTATTATTAATATTATTTATATGATTTATGGTCTTGTGGTAGTTGGCTGAAACGTTATGATGGGAATTTAGTGTTTTCCGTTGCTTATAATTTTCTAACACGAAACCGTAGGCTTATTACCATAAAGCTATTTAACTGAGTAAAAGAATTTTGTTTTTGATTTTTTATAACAAATTTAGGCGGTAGGTATAATGTTCGTTGTACATCAAAAAATTCATTTTAACAATAATCATAACGATGAATTTAATATAAGTAACATACAGAGTCGGATACAGAGTGATTATTTAAGCATATGCTCACCTCATTTTTGTATGTTTAACTAAATTTCGCGTATCATAGTCAAATTCTGGTTTTTAATTTTTAAGGAATATTACTCATTCTTATTATTTACGTTCATCGGTCAATATGAATAAGTAATTTAGGGGGATTTGAGTATAAAAGCCAATATTATTATCTGTTCACATGTAATTATAAAACTATGCTCAATAGGTAAGTATTTATTTACTTTACAATATCAATAAACTGTAATAAAATAAAAATAATTTATGATAGTTAAATATTATTAAACGTAATGTCGGGAATTTAGTGTTTTTTATTATTTACATTTTTTATCACTTTATATCCTAACAACTAATTATTTAATTAAAGCTCTGATTTTTATGCACTAAAAAGTATCAAAATGTGACATAATAATGTAAGTAATATGCAGTAAAAGCCGAGAAAATATTCGACAAATATGCAAGAAAAAAATTTTATTTTGGTAGTATGATACAATTTTAATTATAAAATATATAATAAAATATTTGTTAATAATAATACTCACTCAAGTATACTCCGACAATGTTTTAATATTACAAAAATGCTTAAGGATTAATAACTTTGCACCGAACAATTTTCAAAACAAAAGTAAATATAAAATATTTTAAATAAACCATTATCCTTATGTATAGTATGAGTAGAATAAATCAGAAACTTTTAGTTTAAATTTCG